CACCATCGCCCGGCTAGAGGTCTTTTTAAGGAACTCCAAATGCCTAATTCATTGAGAACCTCTGAGTCATGTAAGGCTGAAAGAGGTGCTTGTGGCTTCCTCTTAACATTGAAGGTTCTCTTTATAATCATGTTTAACGTGGAAGTCATAGTGTCTTTGACAGGAAATTATATTAACACCTGGCTTCCACACAACACACAACCACAACTGTTGCTTATAATCAACAGACACCTCCACCACCCAAAAAGCAAAGCCTGTTATGTGTCAGGGAGACAAGAGCATTTCAGTGTGGCCTCATAACTGGTTATTACCTTCCGGGTTCCCAGCTTTGTTCAATCTAGTTTTCATTTTTTAGTGAAATGCCTGAAATGCATAGTAAAGCCTCCTCTATTTGTTTCTGCCACCATACATGCATTACTCCATGCCAACTGAGTTCCATGGGTTGTTGTTGACAGGTATTTTGTGTAAAATCTCAGGAACTGGTTCTTTTCATCCACTCCTGTTTCTTTCAAGTGCTTACAGCTACCTAGGGGAGCCACAGCAGAGGGAGAGGATCTAAAGGTGATTCTTAAAACTGAGCATGGTTATTGCCTTCCCTTCTCTATACAACCTTGGATGGAGGCCAGTTCTTCAGAGGATCAAAGTTTCTCTCATTCCATCACTTTAAGCTTGACATTTGCTATTAAGTTTTATTTCAGCCTTCATATAACAACTTCCTACTTATACATGAGTCTTCATCTACAAAGGTCAGGTCAAAGAGACAGCAGAGCATCTTCATAAAGCTCATAGATGCTATTATGTCCCCAGTGTTGACTACTATAGACAGAGAACACAATCGTATTATCTTGATCCAGCGCCATAACAAACTCAAGAGAAAATACAGGCAAATGAATCAGAAATAAATCCAGCGAGAGACTGCCATCCCACGGGATAGTGCCACACGGATTTGGGATGGGTCTTTCCTTCTTAATTAAGCCTCCCTGGAAACACCCTCCAGACACTCCCAGAGGTATGTCTCCGTGCTGTTTCTAAATTCCATAAAGCTGGCAACATTAACCATGTGTCTCCATAGTGTTTTAAAGCTGATCACATTAACAGTGTGTCTTAGTTAGACTAGAGCCATAGCCCTCTGTGGGACCAGGCCCAAACCGGGTACCTTCATGGGAGCAGGCTCAGGCCAGAGACATCTACAGAAACAGATCTGAGACAGCTATCTCCACTGGAGCAGACCTGAGGCAGCAAACTTCACAGGAGCAGGTACAAGGGAACAATAGTTGAGGGAGTAGGCCAGAGACCTCTGTAGGTTCAGGCTTGAGTCTGGAACCTCCAATGGAGTAGGCCAGAGCCACAGACCTTTGTGGAACCTGGCACAAGCCAGGGACCCCTGAGGGAGTGGGCCCAAGCCTGAGACATCTACAGAAACAGGCCTGAGGCAATAAACTCCACAGGAGTAGATACAAGGGAGTGACTGCTAAGGGAGCAGGCCCAAGTCAGAGAGCTCTGCAGGATCAGGAGCAGGTACAAGGGAGCCACCACTGAGAGAGCAGGCCCAAACCAGAGACCTCTGCCAGACCTGGCGTGAATTAGCGACCTCTGCTGGAGCAGGCATGAGGCAGCGACCTCTGCCAGAGCAGGCCCAAGGCAACAACCTCAGCAGAAAGAGCCCCAAGCAAGCAATCTCTGTGGGAGTAGGCATGAACCACCCCAGTATTGCAGATCAAACACCGGAGTTGCAGAGCAACCTCCAGGAGCACGGAGTGACGAGCAGGATGCCTGGAACAGTGGCAATGACTGCACCATAAGGAGCAACCATCTGAGCCTTGGATCCACTGGCACCTGGAAGACCGATCCCCAGAGTCACAGGAAACCCCAACCACACCAATTAGAGAAAAAGATGGGTAGACAAGGTAAGGATACACACAACACCACAAAGAGCAACACGACACCAGTAAAAACGGATGTCCCTATAACAGCAAAACTTGAACAACCAAAAATAGATGAAGCAGAAGAAAATGACCTAAAAAAATAACTTCAGAAGAATGTTTGCGGCTTTTAAAGAGGAAATGAAAAATTCCCTCAAAGAAATGGAGTAAAAGACACACAAAACATTGGAAGATATCAACAAATCCCTTAAATACCAAGAAAAAGCAATCAAACATATGAAAGAAACTATTCAAGACTTGAAAACTAAAAGAGAGACAATAAATAAAACATAAACTGAGGGAATTATAGAAAAAGAAATTGTGAAAAAATTATCAGGAACCGTAAACACAAGCATAAACAGCAGAATACCAGAGATAGAAGAGAGAATCTCAAGCACTGGAGAAACAATAGAGGAAATAAACTCAACAGTCAAAGAAAACATTAAATCTAACAAAAGCTTAACAGAAAATATCCAGAAAATATGGGACACCATTAAAAAACCTAAGAATAATAAGTATAGAAGAAGAAGTCCAACTCAAAAGCACAGATAATATATTTAACAAATATTGGAAGAAAACTTTCCCAACATAAAGAAAGATACGCCTATGAAGATACAAGAAGCTTACAGAACACCAAGTAGACTGGATCAAAAAAAAAATCCCCTTGCCACATAATAATCAAAACACTAAACATACAGAATAAAGAAAGAATATTAAGAGCTGCAAAGGAAAAAGGCCAAGCAATATATAAAGGCAGATCTGTTGGAATTGCACCTACTTCTAAATGGAAACAATAAAAGCCAGAAAATCCTGGTCAGGTGTTATGCAGACATTAAGAGACCTCAGATGCCAGCCCAGACTACTATACACAGCAAAATTTTCAATCACCAAGTAAAGACAAAACAAGATATTCCATGACAGAACCAGATTTAGTTAGGTTTCTAAATCTGTGAAGAGATGTCATAATCACAGCAACTCTTATAAATGAAACACTTAATTGGGGTGACTTGATTATAGTTTCAGAGGTTTCTTCCCATTATTACCATGATGGGGAGCATGGTGGTATGCAGGCAAACATGGTGCTGGGATAGTAGCTGAGAGTCCTACATCTTGCAGGCAACAGGAAGGTGACTGAAATACTGGGTGGTATCCGAGCATAGAAAGATCTCGAAGCCCACACCCACAACGATGTACTTTCTCCAACAAGGCCATACACACTCTAACAAAACCACACCTTCCACTAGTACCACTGTCTGAGGTTGTGGGAGCCAATTACATTCAAATAACCACACCACCGCATGTTGCTAAAGTATATCAATTACAACTGACTTGGAAAATTTGATCAGCAGATATGACTGGTTCATAGTTCACAGTAAACTATAGCCATAGTTTATAGCCACCAACAATCCCCAAGGGCTCCCCTGGAACAATTAGATGACAGGCAGTAGGTAACTCTCCCTTTTCCCCTTTAGGATGTACTGTACACAGTTGTGCACCTTTTCAAGAGAGGACCACCCAGGCAGGGCAGCCAGCCTCAGCCAGTGGGAGCCAACTCACAAAGTGTCCTTTCCTGACACTCACTCCAGGGTTTCCTGACATTTCCCTTGTTCCCTGACTGTGTTGTTTATGAGTCTACTCCTCAAATGATGAGGAAGAATTCCAAACAGGGAGATGCAATACTCTTTGTTTTGGGGAGGGGGGTGTTTTTGGGGGGAGAAAGGGGTTTGGTTTTGGTTGGTTGGTTGGTTTTGGTGTTTGTTTGTTTGTTTTATTTTTCAAGGCAGGGTTTATCTGTAGCTTTGGAGCCTTCCTGGAACTAGCTCTTGTAGACCTAGACCTAGATGTCGAACTCACAGAGGCCAGCCTGGCAAATATTATAAAGAAGGTTCTTTTTAAATTTTACTTTGGGGCCTAGAGAGATGACTAAGCAGTTAAGAGCACTGGCTGTTCTTTTAGAATACCCAGGTACAATTCCCAGCACCCACCTGGCAGTTCACAACCATCTGTGATTCCAGCCTCAAAGGATCTGATACCCCCTTATGACCTCCTTGGGCACTGCAATCATGTGGTAACCAGAGATACATTTGGGTAAACCCTCATATGCATAATTTTTTTAAAAAAAGAAAAACTTAAATTTAAATCTACTGTGTGTGTGTGTGTGTGTGTGTGTGTGTGTGAGTTTCGGTATGCATGTGTGTCTATTACATACATGCCTCGTGCAAGCAGAGGTCGGAAGAAGGCACTGGATCCCCTGGAACTGTGGTTACAGGTGGTTGTAAGCTTCTGTACAGATGCTAGAAACTGAACCCAGATGCCCTCAAGAGCCGCAAGTGCTCTTAACCATTGAGCCATGCTCACAGCCCCTTTAAAGCAGACTCGTATGTCATCAGTTTTTAGGGTAAGCTACTTCAGGGGCAAGGTGCAGAAATGTTTTTAGTTTGAGTTTTGTTTTGAAAACACATTGCCATGGAAACCACTCCATGCTTCCCTTCGGTGACATTTCCTTTGCTGACGGAAAAGGCATGACCACTGACCTGTACTGACGGCAGGCGAAGCAGGTAGGAGGCTTAACCTCCAGATCCCAGCCTTGCAGTACAAACCTGAAACAAAATGAAATGGAACACTCTGTAATGGAACCGAAAAATAATTGAGTTTCAAACACAAAATAACGGACAGCTGACTGAAAAGCATGTTAGCTTTTCGAAAGACTTTAAATTGAGCCTCTAACTCATTAACATACCATTTCCAACTCACCTTTGGAAATAAATAATATTGATGGTATATACATCAGGAAGCATAATCCAGCAAAAAAAAATCATTTAAGAATCATGCATTTGAATGCATACAGAAAAATGTGCATTTTACTTGTGGGCTTTCTTAATGGGCAGGGTGTTTTCCCCTGGAGGAATATGATTTGTGTCCATTTCCAACACTGACTCTGAACTCAGAGCATTCTAGGGCATTTCCGAATTTATGTCCTACTTCCCCTTCTCTTCGGCCCCACTATTTCTTTGTAAGGTGTCCCAGTGGGACACAACCAAAAAAAGAACGAAAAACATTTCTTTTTTGCTTTCCCAGGAATCTTAAAAGTCGCATAAGAAAGATGAAATGACCAACAATGGCTCCTGTGGGGAAGCCAAGAAGCAGATGATTCATGAGGGCTTCTTAATGCTCAACGTTCTCTCTCTACAAACACGGGCCACATGAAAGTCAGAAGCCACAGGTTAGAGGACACCGGCTCCTGAACTTGTGCTTTTCCAGAATCAGGAGTCAAGTTACCCTCTTCCTCCAAGAGACACTGTCCACAGCCTACCCAAATCTACCGCCCAATTGTGCAGGCATCTGCTTCTCATGGGGAGGACTGGAGCTAAGTGAGAGCCGTCAAGCGGTAGGGAAGGTTCTCCCACACTGGCCACTCCACATGGTGCTGAAACACGCCCAAGAAGACAACGGGACCAAGGCAAGCACAATGCAGAAGAGAGTCTATCATGGCTTCCACAGACGACTTCCTAATACAGAGTCTTGTTTTTGTAAGCACTGAGTTTAGCTCAAGCATACCACTCAAGCAAGGCTACCCTTTGAAAATATCGTGATCAATGAACATTATTCTGTAAAATCCAGGGCAGAAGGAAGAGAGATGACTGGATCCTGGAGCACGGATGATCTTCTTAGAGCCTTGTAACACTGGGAAGCCCGTACTGAAGACAGCGAAGCAGAGAAGGAAAACAACCAACAAGGAAATGGAAAGAGTGCACAAACAACTAGTGTCTTAGTAAGATTTGGGTTTTTTTTTTTTTGGTGGGGGGGGCTTTTGTTTTTGCTTGTTTTTTTCTTTTTCTTTTTTCTTTTTTTTTTTTTTTGGTTGTTTTGTTTTTCGAGACAGGATTTCTCTATAGCTTTGGAGCCTGTCCTGGAACTAGCTCTTATAGATCAGGCTGGCCTCGAACTCACAGAGATCCACCTGGCTCTGCCTCTGTCTATTATGTGAATAGACACTATGACCATGGCATATAAAGGAAAACGTTTAATTAGGGCTGGCTTACAATTCAGAGGTTTAGTTCATTACCACCATGGTGGGAAGTATGGTGACATTCAGGCAGACACGGTGCTGGGAAGGTAGCTAAGAATTCTACATCTGGATCCACAATCAACAGGAAGAGCTGGTGAGACACTGGCCTGGCTTGAGCATCTGAAACCACAAAAGCCAGCCCCAGTGTCACACTTCCTCCGACAACACCACATTTACTCCAACAAAGCCACACCTCCTAATAATGCCACTCCCTACGCGCCTATGCGGGCCATTTTTATTCAAACCACCACAACTAGGTAGCAAAACCTAACTGCACTGATTCAGGGACTCCTAGCTGGGAAGCTAGCAACCACAGAGCACCGAAAAACTGCCTTAGAAGAAAAAAGAAATGCCGCCTCATCGAGAAGATCTACTAATAGGACAGATGGAAGAACCGAGAGCAATGCCAATAAATATAAATATATTAGTAAATACTAGTTTTAGCTATTAACGGTAATAATCATATTAATCAGTCTCCATATTTTGGACTTGGAATTAAACACTATGTACACTTGCCCAAGTCTTTTGCGTTTAGCACAAATCCCTTGCTCTTGTCTTGTTAAGACTTGATCCCCGGAGGTCTATAGACCTTTCCTGGGGGGAAATGTCCGTAACAAAAGCTACTCAACAGAGCTATGATGTATTAACATCAACAAAATGCCGGAAAGAAACAACATATGAAGAGAGGATTTGTTTGGCTCATAGTTTCGGTTCACTGCAGAGGGCAAGGTGTGGATGAACGAGTCCTCCACAGCAGTGGGTGTTCCCCCAAAAAGGGTTTTCCAAAGGCAGAGACAGCAGGACAGGAACTAGGGGCCAGGTACAACCTTCAGAGACCCTTCAGCAGTGAGCCCCTTCCAGCAGCTGGCCCACCAACCCCCCAAAGCTTCCACAATCTCCCCAGATAGTACAACCTACTGGTGGACAAGTATTTGAAACATGCAGGGCCTGCGAAGGACATATCAGAATCAAGTCATAACAGGCGGCTATTTTCCAAACTACCGCTAGCATGACTCCAGCTTCTAATCGAATGGTCGAGAAAACAGGGCTGTCTCCTTGAAACCTGTATCATGCTGCTAAGGCAATAAGACCAAGATTACGTAGAAATGCTCACTGAACCACCCTGTTCTCCCACCCTGCTCTTGTCTTCACGGCTTTGACAACTCTCTGCAGTCATGGCTACATTTCTCCTCTCTGAAGGTCTCCAATCCCCAGGCAAGGCAAGCGTGGATTTGAAAGGTGGTGTGGTACTTTGGATTGACACAGACATTCCGCTCTTATGGTTCCAGACTTGTGTGTAATTCTGGTGACTGTTCATCAAAGATTCTCCTAAAGAGTCAGCTTTAGCCAGCAGTCGGATGATTGACAGCAGTCTTTGGCAGCTGATCCTTAAACACGAGAGTGTGAGAAGTGAGGTAGAAAGGAAATGGCCCAGGAAGGAAAGAGAGTGAAAATGGAGATTTGGAAGGAAGATCTGTTTGGGGTGGACAGTGTGTTCTAATCTGAGAGTCATCTAGCAGACAAGCAGGGGTTTAGATGTGGAGCTAGGACAGAGCCCAGGGCAGAGATTGCAAGCCCATCATTCAAGGTGATCTTTCTGAACATAAGATGACAACAGGAAAGAGAGACGGCCTGAGGATGTGACTTTGCCGAGAATCCCCTTTCCAACCAGCACATTTACCAGTCTGGAGATGGCAGAGCACAGCCCCAGAGCTGAAGAAACAGCAGCAGTCCCGCCCACCACGGGGCATGTGGCCTGTGTGGGTTTGTGAGCCCCTCCCCCCCCCCGGATGAATTGTGTTTCTCTCTCCTCCCCTGCTGGATCACGGCGCTCAGAAATGTCCTGGGGAAAGCCTCATTGCTCGTCCTGTGACCCATTTTCCATCTGGCTGCCAGAAGCTCCTCTGCCTTTGCGACAGCTCCGCCAGGCTCTTAGGAGGAGTGATGAGCAGTGTGAACGCACACAGCATTAGCCAAACGCCCTGCGGTGGAGCGCCTGAAACAAAATGTTTTAAAGGGCTACCTTTTATTTCTCCAACAGGGACTTGGCTAGGTGAGGGGAGACTGCAGAGTCTGGGGGATTTTCTACAGCACGCCCTGGAGAGCTGGTATTAGGAGAGACAGTGGCAGGAACAGATCCAAGGTTTCCATCTGTCCTGGACCTCTGGCCCCATAACATGGGTGAATTATCTTGAATACGTTGTTAATCACAGATTTCATATTCCAACCAGATCTACCCAATTAGAACCTCCATTGATACAACTGTCTCCCTCCCTCCTTCCCTGCCTCTTCCCTTCCCTCCCTCCTTCCTTCCCTCCCTTCTTCCCTCCTCCCCACCCTCCCTCCTTCCTTCTCTTTCTCTCCTTCCCTCTTTCTCTCTTTTCCTCCCTCCTCCCCTCCCTCCTTCTTTTCCTCCTCCCCTCCCTCCTTCCTTCCCCCTTTCCTTCCCTCCTTCCCTCCCTCCTCCTTTTCTCTTTCCCTCCCTAGAGCTTGTTTGTATTAAGCAAGCACTTTACCACTAAGCCCCCTTCCAGCCCCTTTGCATTGCCACCTTTACTTTTATGAAACAAAGTCTCACTAAGTTATCCTGGTTGACCCTAAACCCATTCTGTAGCCCAGGCAGGCCTTGAACTCACAATGCCCCTGTCTCATCCTCTGGGGTAACTGGGATTACAAGGCTTGCACCAGGCCAGATTCACCAAATATTCCTGAGACAGACTCTTAAACAACTCCTTCTTCAAAAGGCTACCCCACCATCTTCTGTAAGAACTATTGAGGGTTTCTTTTTTTTTTTTCAATAGTTGGAAGAGAAAGGAATTTTCTTGGCAAGGTCTGTGGGAGTGGGGGGTGAAGGCTTGCCAATTGGGAAACAAAAAAAAAATCATTTTCTAAAATTGTCATTTGTTTTTACCATGATATTTATCAGTAAGATCAAATCACGTATAAGTGTCATGTAAGACTGGTATCTTGAGCGGAAGAAATTTGGATCAAGAACAGCTGAGAAATCTCACAGCTTGAAAGGATGCCACATTTGAGTTATGCAAGATGTGGCTCAGCCATTTTTCCAAGGTGTCCATTAAACTGGACCTCATGCCGTCCTCTGTGAACTGTGAACGGAACATGAGCTGTCCTTGGGACAACTAGGGAGTCTGTGGTGTTTAGGAAAGTATTCAGCACTCAGGTCTGACAACTAACAGTCCTCCACTGTACTACACAGGAGGTGCCTTCTTCAGGCGTCCAGAGCCCGGGGGGCCAGCAGACTGCATTCTCAGGGAAGAGGACTCCCTCTGCCTTACAGGGACCACCTCAGGGATGATTCTCTCGCCTCCAGCAGGGACACAATACCAAACCCACGCAGTTAGAGCTAACAGGCAGACGTGTGGTAGTGATGACCCTCTCGCTCTTCTCGCTCTCAGCTCTTCTCCGAAAAGTCAGACAACACGTAGCCATGTGGGCAACAACAAGTGAGAGCCAGTCTCAGGTCTCATCTCTGAGGTTGTCTACTCATCTTTCCACTGAAGAAGCAGCTGATCTTACACATTTTTTCAGGCACGGTTTGGATGACCAAAGCCCGCAAACAATGGTTAAGAGTCAACGGAAGGGCTGTGAGAGAATCGTGAGGAGCCATTCAATGGGACAGGCCAAGGACGTAAGGACAATTTCTCCTCTCTTCTATACTTTTAAACTTTGGTGGGTGACACAAAGCTGTTTGCAACTTTTCTCTTCCCAATCCCAGAAAAATCTGATGAGTTTTTGTTGTTTTGTTTTGTTTGTTTGTTTTTTTGTTTTTAAGAGGAGAGCTCAAGCTTCCCTCCTGCACTGCTAGCCTTTGGGTTTGGAGATAGAGGTTTGAATGCACTGCCTCAAACCCTTCAGCTGTGTGTGAGTTTTTCCATTTAGGAAATAGAGTACAGCTTTAGTCTTCCAGTGTCAAACACGGAATGCTTAGATTCCAGGCAGGGGATTCCCAGAGAGCCAGTAATGCTTGCTCTATTCATGTTACTGCGAATATCAATTCCAGACCTTTCCCATCTCAGAAAACAGAAACCGGACCCACATCTCTCCCTCTGACTCCTCACATTCTGCTTTTGGACTCTGAATTTAGCTATTGCAGGAGTCTCTGATATGTAGCATCACACAGTCTGAGTCTTTTTGTTTTAAAGAGCAGAAATGTCAGTTCCTTATTGAACCTATTTACAACAAGACAGCAAGTCATTTAGATGAACAAACTGGATCCCCAGATGGAGATTTCTGGAAGGCAAGAGGGACTTGGGTTATCTATGAAGACTTTTAAAGCATGTTCAGCACCACTAAAGCATTTCCTTGGATAAAATTCATAAGGGCCCACATGACAGCCCACAACCATCTGTAATTCCAGTCCTAGGAGATTCAACACCCTCTCTGCCCTCGCCAGGCACCAAGCCTACTAGCGTTCAGACCTACATGCAGGCAAAACACCCATACACATAAAATAAAATTTTTTAAAAAAGAGATCTTAAAAAAGTCTTAAGAACTCAATTTTGTAATTTCCTAAATTTCAGCATCTGACATTTGCCATTTAAATATATCATCAAATCCATCAAAAACAGTTATTTTTAAGTCCTTAAATATTTGGTAGAAGTCTTATAAGATGCAATCATAACAGAATCTGTTAAGCAAATTTTTTTTTCAACCTTGGGTCTGAACAGTGGGTTCTACCCTATTCATCTCTCAGG